AGTTTCCGAGATTTTCGTAATAAAGTCTATGCTGCCGAGTGCGATTTGCTTATTCAAAACAAAAGATTCTAGATTCATTTCTACTGTAACTACTACAGTCACTGGGTGATTGAAATGCCAGGCACGAAGCGCATGAATTTTTATTAAACTTTTGTGGCAAAATTTTTCTGAAGAAAAGTTTTGCCAAGATGTGTTTTTTTACTCAGTCGCATGCAAAAATTTGTTTTCGGGTGTGTTGTTGCAGGACATCGATACGCACGTGTGTATGCCACATGCGTACATACCTATAACGATTGAAGGGGCAGTACGGGTGAGGGGAGTTAGATGGCGGGAGCGCAACGCTAAATCACGGCAACGAAAACGCTCTTAAGCGCTCACGAGCCGTTGCGCCAATGAAAATAACTGCACGCTCAACTGACAACAACAAAGCCTGCTATCGACTCCAAATCTGGTTGTATGCATCGCTTGTGAGTGCATACATAGATAGATAGAACCACGCGCCGCCAGAATCTTTTTACGTTTTGGTTTATTCTCTGCAAAGTATCTGCGTCGAGCTATGTACATACATATGTATGTATGTGCATAAGCATCTGTAAGTACGTGCAGTGCGCGATAGTAGTGCGCTTTTGAGATATACGCCAGAAAAACGGGGAAAAAAACCGAAAAAGCTGATTGCTATCAGGCCTGCTGTATCTTGAAGAGCTACACAAAATAACAACAACAACGCCGCCGACTGATATGCGCAACAATTTAGTAGAAGAGGCGTTCAAAATTCTTAGTTGCGCCGGAACGCAGCGTTGTGGCTCTTGCCGCTGACAGCTCCCACACTGGCTATTCCACACCTTGGGCTTAACGTTGTTGGTATGTATGTATCCACTTTTCTTACAACTTCTATTTGTTTTGATATATTTGATGTGAACGTACCTACATACATATGTATGTATGTAGATGTATACATAGGGCGGCCGTCGTAGCTGACTGTTTAGTGTTGCCTACTACTTGCCACTTGGTAGCACCCAAGTTCGATTCCTGGTCCGGTCAACACTCATAAAAAGCTGCCACTACGAAGCCAACGACCAATATCCGAGTGAAAAATCTTCTCATAAAATTTGGTTGCGGTTCATAGGCGGCGTCCCTCCATTTGTGTGACAACATCAAGGCGCGCACCGCAAATTGGAGCAGAAGCCCGGCCAAACTTTTAGTAAATCGTGTAAGCGCCAAGTATTTACTTTTGTATGATGCATGTATCTAGCTATTTCATATTTATCTTGCTCCTATTACATTTATTTGCCATTGCGCCGCTCCTCCCTTCCGTGACAAAGCGCTCACAATTAATAATCACCAATGCATCAGCGCTCACTTCTTCGGTGTCCCTTCGCTGATTTCCATTCACCTGCAGCCAGGTGGCAGTCATCTTGTTTACCACACAAACTACATACTCGTACGTACGTACATAAGTCGTGCTGCGGCTGAGGCTCTTGGCTTGTATCTGCGCGCAGTCAGCAGAGTATGACAAGTGGCGTGAAGGAGCGTTTAATATCTGCATCTGTGTGCACTAACAAACAAACAAACAAGCAAGGCCCTTCTGACTCTGCCTCTGCTCAGTTTGTAGAGTTTTTTTCCCCCCCCCAGAACAAAGGCGCGCATTTAAGTGCATAATTTGCATGTTTGCACAATAATTGCTTTTGAAAAATTACCAGAATATTTAGATATGAATGTGATACATATGTATGTGTCGTGGAGCGAAAGCGCGCGAGGTGGGCGAACCGAAATGGCTTAGATATGTAGGTAGTTGACTCTGCAAAATGCCAGCGACGTTGGTTATTTGGCGACAGCGGGCCGGTGGCTGGTTACTGGCCTCCCAGTAGATGGCTTTGACTTGTTATCTTATCTGCTAATCAGTTGGTACCTAGTGTGTGAATGTAGGCGAGATAACTGCGGCAGAAATATGCTGTTGTGAGTTCGTTTCATTGTCTTTGGGGAGGGGATCATTTAGGGCGCATTTAATTTTTCCGTTAGATCCACAGCTATTTAAGCGGTGCATAGAACTTCTGCTTCCGTTTGCTTTCGGAAATATGCTAGTGTCTCACATTCAGTCAAATTAACCAATCCGTCAAAGCGGAGTTCAGTATGTCCCGTCGCTTCTCACATTCACTTCAAATTGTTTCCAGTTGAGGACACAGCAGTTAGCACCACTTGACATGCCGCAACCCTGTCGGGTTTTCTTTTGTTTTTTTTTGTTTTTTTTTTGTTTTACCTTTTCAGCATTCGTGACTTACGAAACACGCCAATCGGTATTTGCATATGGCAATGCGCCAGTTATTCAATCATTCAATTGACTACTCTTTGTAGTTTTGTAGATTTTTTTTCACGGAGCCTTCGATTGCTTTCGCCAACTCATCAAACTCTCATAATTCACCTGAACTGTCAAAAATCGCCAAACGCGCCGGCCACGCTGCCTAGCTGCCTAGCTGCCTAGCTGCAACAACCGCAGCAACCACCAGCGCCATAGTTGCGCCCCTCAGCGCTGCTATCGGCGGCCCCCACCCGAATACATACATATATCCATTGAGCCATCACAGCTATCAAACTATCAAACTAGGAAACATCTAGTTTCCGTCCGTCGCCGGTCCGTCCGTCCGACTGCTCAGCCGTTTGTTGCGTTTATGTTTGGTCATCGTCGCTGCATGCCACATTCTGCCAACCGCGCCAGCTGTCCGACCGCGCGCCCGCCCTCCCGTTCGCGTTTTTCACCTTTGCTTTTTCTGATTTTTGAAATAATTTACCAAATAGAATAGTATCCAACAAAAAAGCAGATCGGTATTACGGATCGTGTGTGCACGACGATAATGACTGCGCATTTATGTACTTAAACACAAAAACACACACAAACACGCGGGCGCCCATTCAAACAGCACGCAACTGATGGTTCACTAGATTTTACATAGATACTTAGGTACTTTTAGAGCGGAAGGGAGGGACGTTATGTTGTTCATTTGCCGCCTTGCGGATGGTGCTTTGTTCGGCGTTACAATGAATGCTGCTGCTGTGTTGTTGCTGGTGTTGTGTCTTTTGCCGACAACGCGCTTTGCGAATCCGTTGTTGGTTGTTGAACTATGTGGCAATTGAATCATGATTGTGTTACATTGTATGCACACATTTGACATATTGATTGGCACTTTTTGATTTGCGGTCTCGAAAAATTTGATAAAATCGTTTTTTTTTGTTTTTTTTTTTTTTTTGGCTTTTTGTGTTAGCATCGTAGCAGTGCTGCCTAGTGTAAGGTTGCATGCGTGGCTGAGGTGCGGCGAGGTGATGCGTGCAATCATAGGACCAACATCAGGGGTCACTGGTGATATTTTTGTAAACAGTATGCCTATACCGTTGTATACGCAGATATAATGGGAAGTCAGGTGATGGTTGCTGAATTTTTGGGCTTTTGTTTGCATTTGACATAAACATTTGGCAACAATTACAGCTGTCGAGCTACGAGAATAGGCGTAATGACGGATGATCACAAACTGGTGTTCAATGCATATCGTATTAAAGCCTGATTATGGCAACTTGCAACTTAACTTAACTTAACGGAACGTAGAACTTAGAAAATCGAAATGAAACAGACTCGACGTGGCATTAAAAGTTAAGTGAAGTTTCGGCTGTTAAAATTATAAGCACCATCCATTTAACAGAATTTTGAAGTGATAGCCGTAAGTTACGTTAAGTTGCCATAATCAGACCATTAGAAATCCTAATGAGGTGGAGGTGCGCGCTATGACTATGTGAGCTGATCTTTTAAGTAAATATTTTTTATAGTGTATGCGGGTAAGGTTCATAAAGAAAATAGGGACAGGCTAGCAGGATTTAGGCCGTCGGCAAATATGTACAGGTTTCTGTAGGCCACTTCGCGCACTTAGCAACAGAGTTTTCAAATAGGCATGTATGTACATATATAAACTTTTTTTCGTTCAAATCGAAGTATGTAAATATGTGCTATGTAGAAAGAGATATCGAGATTCATGAAAATGTTCCTTCGGAAAGGAAAGCTGCATAAAAGTTAAGAACTTAACAAGTAATTTTTAAGCAAAAAAAAAACGAGTTCAAATCTCATATAAAAATTTAGGAGTACCGTTAACTTTTTCGTGATCCAATGATCGGATCTAAACCAGAGTATATGGCCACCTCTGAGACACTAATTTTCCGATGAAAAAAGAATTTTCGAAATCGGTTAACGTGGTCCAAAGTTATGCGGTAGCATACATAAAAAAAAAAGTATTCCGACGAATTGATAACCTCCTCCTTTTTTTGAAGACGGTTAAAAAAGGAGAAGGTTATCAATCCGTCAAACTATATACATATATACACTAAAAAAAAACGTCTCTTAATTGAAGAAAAACAGCAATCACAATGAAGAAAAATGGGAACGAAATAGCACTAAAGAAGTTTTATCCTCTTTTCATGCCCAACATTTCCTCAAAATGATAGATTACATCCACTTTTCCATATTTTCGTGTACGTTTTTACACATTCGGGAGAATTTTTTACTCATTCGGAAGAATTTTCGACCTTAAAGTAAGAAAAGTTTTTCTTTGATCCAGAGATGGATTTTTGGTTCAGTGTATATTTTTTATACCACGTTAACCGATTTCCTCAAGGGTGGACCCCCTTGTTTAGATCCGATAATTCGATCGTGAAGAAATTAACGATAATCTTGAATTTTTATATGAGAATTGAAGTCGGTTTGGTTTAACTATCCTTACCACATACATATCGTCACTACACACGAATAAAGGCACGATAGTGTTTTGACGGCAAAAAAGATGCTTATGAAAAACTTCGGCGAAGTATGTTAAGAGTTTTTGACGCTAAAGTTTTTTTATCGTCTTTTTGCGCCGTCAACTTTTGAGCTCGCGCCTTTATTCGTGTCTAGTGACGATATATATATATGTATATACATCTATGTATTAAATATTTTTCGGCTAGCGCCTATAGCGCCGACTTACCTTCGCAGGTGAACTGTCCATAGTGCTTGCCGGAGCTCTTGTCCCCGCACACCACACACTCGATGTTCTGCTTGCAGTCCATATTTTGTTTGGAGTCGCTGTTGCTACTCTGCGAATGCAGGCTATTCGCCTGAGAACTAGGCGTTGTACTGCCACCGCCGCCGCCGCCGCCACCACCTCCTCCACCGCCCGCCGCACTGCCGCCGCCCAAGCAATTAGACGCCGCTTGTTGGCCTTTGATCATGACGCCGAGCTCCTGTCCGTGATTCTGTTGCGCCGCCGCCGCTGCATGATGTGCTGCCGCCGCATGGTGTGCCGCCGCGCTAGCTGCCGCCGAGGCAGCTGTCAGACTGGAGAGATCCTCTTTGATTGTATGATGTCCGCTTTGGTTGAGTGTGTTCGATTGGCCCCCCGCGCCACCGAGCCCGGAAAGGTCCTGCTTGATGCCCGCCGACTGTTGGCTGGCGACGCTGGATGGTGTTGTGCCGCCGCCGGTACCCACGGAGCTGCCACCCGCGCCGGGCAACGAGCCGGGACCAGCGGAGGCGTGCAGATGTCCACCGAGATTAGGATCGTGCCATGCGGAGGGTGGCGGTACGCCCAATGCCATTGAGCGCGGCAGGCCGAGATCGAAGGCGGACAGCTCGGCGCTGGACTGCGGGCGTGGATTGAAGAAGCCGGGAGCGGTGGACGGTGAGGCGCACATGACGCCGCCACCGTACACGCTCAAAGAATTGTGGGTGATAATTTTGGCGGCTTGCGGGGCGTAAGAAGGAAATGAAGTATGCACTTTGCTGGTATGCCGTCGACACAAAGCGGTACGAGACCGTAGCTAGTTGTGTGTATTTTTGTACGTGGCGTAGCGGCTGTTTGCGCGTTTGATTACCACCTTTCGTTGCTATAATTATGTTTTTCTTTTCTTCGGCTGCGATGTTGCACAAGAAGTGATCGCAGCACTCAAAAGTTCTTAATCTTTTTTTTTTGTGCAAAAATTCTTTGTATTTTCTCATCAACCAGTACTCATTTTTTGTATTATAATTTTCGTATCAAAACACTGCTGGTATGCAATATTTCTCACTTTATCATAATTTCTGATCGAGCGAAAATTTCTTGCACACACGTTTGGTTGGCGATCGCGTTGCCGCGCTAAAAAATATACGAAATATACTTATTTAAATTCAAAATTAATTAACACTGGTAAATTTTAATCGCACTCCGCGCGTATTTCGCTAAATTCATTTAATTTATTATTTTTATTATCGAACACTCTTTCGTCAATAATTCATATATGTTCGGGCGTTGCAACCGAGAACTTTCAAACGATTTGCACACACTTTGTAAAATTTCAGTGATTTTTCTCCTTGGCATATCTACGCAAGCAGTAATAAAAAATAACTTCAGATGTTCGGAAAAATGCGCGTCATGCGACCAACAAAATCTCAGCTGTTTTCGTAAGGCCTTTTAGAGCCTGACTGGCAAAACATTCGTGGCAAAAGGTACACGACCCGACCCGACTCGACCGTTTCGACCTAACGACACATCACACAAATCTCTCATTCCACCACTCAAAGCAGCCAGATTGCCACTACGAACTCAGTGCACACAGCTCACACAGACGCCGAACATAGAGCGCACACAAGCAAGCGAACGTTTACGCTCGCAGCAGTGCTGCCAGCCGCAGTCAGCCACCCTGAAATCTAAATCGTCCATTCAATCGCCTAGGCTGCTCGCACGCTTGTCACCAGATGGCGTGCGCATTTGAGTGGAAGTGGCTTGCCGACTCGCTCGCACCCGTTCGCTAGGCCTGGGCGGCGGCAGCCGTGCTGGTTATGCTGGTGGTGGTGGTGGTGTTGTTTGTAGTGGTGTATGCGGCCATGTGGCCTATGTCTGCGCTCTATGGCGGGGCAAGACCTTCTACGTGTTTGGTTGAGCGCCACCAAAGCACACACACACACGTCTCCTCACTCTCCACGCTGGTTTATGTGTGCGTTGATGTATTTGCTCAGCGTTTGAAGGCGGCTGGGAGCCACTGAGTTTTCCACTCCACTCACTCCATTTCCGTTTAGTTGCTCGCGTGCGCAAAAAGCGCTCAAGCCATTATATTTTCCTTCGCTCATTTGTCAAGTAGCTGGTGAGCGAGGCGCTTTGGATGAGATGTGAGTGGATTTGTTCGTTGGGTTTGTGTGAGTTCGCTTCGTTTTGGAGCGGTGCAAAGAGTATGGCATACATTGAACTCGTTTTTCTTATTAGTACATTTAATGTATCTGGTAGATACTCAGTTGCCTTTTTTTTTGCTTTTATACATAGTATGCCACTTTAGCTTTGTTGTTGTTGTTGTTGTTGTTGTTGTGGCAACCGCTTGACTGGTTTACTTACATTGTTGCTGCTTTTACATACATATTTATTTTGTTTTTTTGTTTTGTTTTGTTGCGATCTACACTACATACTTTAATCAAAGAAATGAGAACAAAAAGAAAATTAAACAGATAAGCGAAAATTACCGCTCGTTCGACGAGAGCAGAAAAGCCACTTAAAGCGAAAAACTTCACTCCACATCACTAAATCCCTCCCCAAAAAAAATTATTTTAATGGCTTTAAATGAAATTTGTTGATTTTTTGTTTTCGCTGACTTAACATAACAGCGTTGTTGTTGCTACCTTTCCATGCGCTCATTTATCGTAATGACTTTTTAAGCAACAGTCGATGGCAGCAGCGCACTTTTGGTTGGTTAATTTAGGTAAATGCAGTTACCCAGCCACGTACGATCAGCTAGATATGTACATACATACATACAATATGTGTATATATATGTATGTATGTGTTATTCGAATACAAATTTATATGTTTTTATTGGCTTAATATCAAGCAAATACATGCATGTACATTAGGGTGCCCATCGAAAATGATTTTTTTTTTTTTAATTTTAAGACCCTACCCCCTAATTTTATTCGTTTTTATGAGAAATATTATTGCCTATTTTTATAGATTTTTTAAAGGTCACATTGTGCTTAGCCTCCTTAAGTACCGTCTTGAACATTTTTGTTATAGTTATTGATTTGTTATTTTTTGATATTACCGTTACGTTGTTCACCAAATTCTGCTGGGATCGGTCAAGTAGTTTTGAGATACGCATATATCATATAAGTGGGCGGTGCCACCCCCATTTTCTTAAAATTTCTTGAAAAATCAGTTTTTTGCTAAAGAGCGATTGTGTATATCAATTTTTAATCAACATTGATGAATCACTGAAATTTCGGTACATGCACCCGTATAAATTCAAGGCCGTATTTTAGAAAATTCGCCTAAATTCTGCAATTTTTATGCGATTGCAATAAATGAGCTGTCAGGTTATTTAAAAATAGACTTAATTCTAGATAGTACTCCATATTTTGAAATTGTAGAAATTATCGATAGTGAAATTTAAAAAATTAAGAGGAATATGTTTTTTGTTTTTATTTTACCCGATTAAAAATGCAAATCAGCCACGCCCGACAATATATTATTATACTTCATTTTAAAGGCCTATATATCCCCTTCTCAGATCATATTCGATCCTTGAAATATTCGATCTTTGAAATGGTCATTCAAAAACTTATAGATCTACAAAATCGTATTTTCTGACCTACATAAATCTACAGGTCGCGACCTCTGACTCACCTTTAAAAAACGAATAAAATTAGGGGGTAGGGTCTTGAAATTTCCAAAAAATCTTTTTCGATGGGCACCCTAATGTACATACATACATATGTACATGCTAATGTTTGTATGCACATATGTACATATATCTGAGTAGAAACCAATTTAAAATGAATTTTACAGATTAAGAGCAGGAAAGCTTCAACTTTAATAAACAATAACTGCCATATTGCCATGTAAACGCGTGTGTAAACAAATAACCCATACATATGTACACATATTGCATATACCCTGCAAAAATCGCGACTACTCCGTGCACGCGTGTAAAGAGTGCTCCCTAAGGACCAATGAGTACCCCAAAATTAACCACATTTCATATAAAAAAAAATATGGTCCAATTAACAGTGCGATGTCCTAGGGCAGGACCATATACTCCATCTCTGCATTACATCAGCACAAAACTACTCCAACACATTAACAATGGCATTGTTGTTATATTTTTTCGTTAGTACCTACACGCTTTTATTCTTCACTTCTCAGATGCTTTTTCGAAATAAATAAAAACCAAAAACAAAAATTAATATTTATATGTTGCCTCTGACGGAATTCGAACCCGAACATGCTGGGAACTAACAACTAACACTGATCATCTCTACACGTTCAGCTACAGCCAGCCATGCAAATGCGCTTGCAAATGCTCAACTTCAATCACATTTCGTTAAAACACGAGCAGTGATCGGGTAACAAACAATAAGCTGGTGCAGAGACACGAGTTGATCCGCTACAGCATGACAGAGGAACACTTTTATAAGTACTCCAATATACCACAAATAGACTACGTGGTGCAATGATTTTTGCAGGGTACATACATATGTATGTATGTAGTATATACATACAAATCTACATATTCAAATGCATATACGTATGTATATGTACAAGTGTCTCGTATACAAAGATCTGTGTGCGACTCACTTAATTTAATTTCCCCTCATGCTAATCGGAAAGGCATACACATTGTATTCGAGCAATTAAAACCTATTGGATATTGCTAAAATCGTTTCCATTAAGATCTAATAAGTCAAACTCGATTTTTTGGCGCTCAAAATAACGCCTTCCAAATAAATATAAGTTGTGTTTTTTTTACAAATTATCCAGTAACTTGCCAGCAACTCTCCAGTAACTTTATTTCTAAGAATTCGCTCTCATAGAAAAAATTTGCAAAAAAGTACGTGAACGCTTTTCCAGTAATAATTTGCAAGTTTCATGAACAGCTGATAAATTGCTTGTTTATTCGCAGCAAATTCCTAATAAAACAATATATTTTGTATTTAAATGGGTTTATTTTGTAAATTTCTACAATAAAAACCCACAAACAGTTTTCTTATTAGTTTAAATTTCATCCAGCAACATGCGATCAGCTGTTTTTCGTACTGGCAAATTCTTACAAGTAAAAATTTATCCATTAAAATCCAGTAAAAACTTGCAACTTCAACTGTCAATTTTCGCTCTCTCAATTTCCCCTACTTTGCAAGTTTTTGCGTACGAAAACGCCAAAACATGAAAATTCGTAAAAACTTTTACTGGATTTTACTGGAAATGAGTAAAAAAAACGCAACTATAAGCGAACCCGTGAAGTTGAAGATTTCTTTATGAAATTTAATTGAAATTTTTATCGAATACCAATATCTAATGATATAAATATACCTACATAATAATAATAATAGATTGGCGCTTACACATACATACATACATGTGTGTTCTTGTTACCAATGATGTCGATGACGTTCACATACGCCAGCAATTGTACGCTCTTGGTCGAATAATCAATTTCTCAATTTCTTTTAATTTGAATAACTACCAAACAATTAATTTAAAATATTTTAATGTCGTTTGAAAGGTATTTAAAAAATATATATTTTTTTTGTATATACAAGTTTTATTTTTTTTTGTAGGGCTTATGAGAAAAATGAGTTTTTATAAAAAAAACATTACAAAATTAAAAGAAAAACGATTTTTATTATTAAATCTCGTTATTGTCAACACATAAAAGTTAGCTTCTAAAGGTGTTCAGCCCCTCTTCTTCGGCAACACAGAAAGGAGAATTCTACTTCGTGAGGGTTATAATCTCTAAGTGCGGCCGAAGGCTGCCTACGCTGAAAGGTGTTCTCTGCAAAAGGTCTTCGGCAACACAGAATGGAGAATTCTACTTTGTCCAAGTACGCAGAAAGAAGTTCTGCGTAAAAGTACTTGCGATTGTTCAGATAAGACATGTTTTACGGTGATATTTATATAAAAAGTACATTTGTAAAAAAAAAATGTTTTTATAAAAAAACTTGTTTTTTTCATATATTTTATCAATAAAGAATATCAATGTTGTATGTCAAAAGAGAGGTATTTTTATTACCTTTGAAACGGCATACAAATCCTTCAAAAATCAATAACAGTTTGCGAGATATTTAATTTTAATGAAATCCATTTTTTACTTTTTGACCTTGAATAAAACTAACATTTTTTGTTTCCACCAAAAACAAAATTTGTTGTTATTTGTATAAATTCCTCTATAGAGCCCACTATCTTTATTTTTATTTTTTTTTTTAGAATTGTACGTACATTTGTCCCTGTGTTAAATTCCATTCTCTGGCTGTTAATTAACATTCTCTGGTTGCGCTTCGCTCGTTCATAGATTTGTATAAAAATATAATAAACATTAAATAAACAAAAGACAAATAGCCAAAACTGGTCAAAATATCGCACTGTTATTATTTTGTGAACAACTGTAACAGCCAATTTCACCAAACTATTTAATTAACTTTAATTTTCGAATTTTCGGTTTCACCAATTAATTTTAATTTTGATTTAAGTGACCTATGCTCTGCACTTAAATAAAAGTTAAATCAGAATAACCACACTCAGAGGTGTTACACGTTTAATCACCTGATCATTGTGCATCTGCTGCTTACTTGTATACCAGCCCTGCTTTTACAACACAGCGTGCCAAAGCTTTCAAAAGCTCTCAGTACAAATGAAAGCGAAAGCTAGTCCTAGTCTGTTTTACAACCACTTTTTACTCACTTAAATAAATAGTTTATTGAAACTGAAAATAATTAAAATGAGATTTAAATAAA